GCATATTGTTGAAAACCTTAATTCAATTTCTTTGAAAATAGATATTAAAAAAGACTGCCAGGTATCTGCAGTGTAATTGTGAATTGTTGTATTTTGATGGGGATGGGTACAGAACAAGAAATTAGTGATGGCTTTGCACAAACAGTGCAATTTGCCATATCTTTTGTCCTGATAATTCTGCTGGGCCTGAGAATGAAAGTGGCTTTCTCACTTGCGTGTATTCAGACTGCAAAAGGCTGATGAGATTGACTTCTCCAGTTTCCAATTCCAAGATCAGGAACTCGCTGAGGGAGGGAGAGCAAGCCACTTGTTGCACCTTGATGTACAACATAAGCGCATCAGCATCTTGTGAACACAGATGGAGCAGTCAAGAAGTTGGATTTGTAAGAAAGGAACACAGAAGCTTATGAAAGAGATGTTGCACACTATAGATGTACTTCACACTTATTTTCTTTGACAATTTTGCAACAATTCTTGCTTCACTGACACTAACTATTGAACTGCAATTATCTATCACTGCCTAAAACATGGCAATTTCTAAAAGTATTTCTTAATAAGGACATGAAGGGAGGTTTTGGACTCTGGTGACTAAAGGGATTGATTTGCTGCACTCGGGTCCCTTAATACCACGAGTAAAATTTCAGTCTTTATCTTCATAACTGAAAAATTATTCCTTGTTTAAATATTTACAGTATCTAAAAAGTGTTCTGTTATCTAGTGTGTTATCTGAGGTGATATCTGTCATTTCCTTTTCCTTTTGAATGTAATGCAGCAGAAAAACAAGTTTTCTCATTTTTTAGCACTCGTGTACGTGCTGGCCTTGAAGTGTTCAGATAGTCTTTTAATCTGCTGTGAATGTTCTGCATCGAGTCTAGTGTATCAAAGGATTAGCCATGAGGAATGGATCAATCGGGATATATTTGAGACTGACCTCAGTAATGGGTGAGACCTCTGCTCACCCTGTGCAACCTCAGTAAACCTCTGTAATGGGTGAGACCTCTGCTCACCCTGTGGAACCTCAGTAAACCGACTCACCGAGGCAACAATTTACATTTCATGCAGTGACTAATGTGTAAAAGAAACATCTCAAACAGCTTTAAAGAATGAGATTAATTCAGAATTAAGTGAATATTATCTCAGCAAAGGTGGCACCTAATTGACTTCAGCAACGTCCCACAAACCACAATGGGACACATAGGTAATAAATTAGGTTTTGGAGTGAATTTGGATGAAGAGGGAATCTAAGATGGGAAATGGCTATGTTTTATTTGAAGTATAAGGGTTCTTCAAATGCCATATTATTACAAATAAAGGGTAGGACCTAAACTAACAGTGTGCTAATCTGGAAATAAATACTAGATTTATATATTATATACAATGTTACGCAGGCAAAAGGGGCAACCAGTCTGCAGTGCACACTACACAGAAATGAGGACTTACTGGGTTCTCAGCATGCCTTAAAGTCCCATCTGTTTGCTCAGGTAGATGTTAAAGATCCCATGGCATTATTCAAAAGAGAATTTTTTCCCTCAGTGACCTGGCCAACAGTCCCTCAAATTTAAAAAAATAGACACTCACTTGATTACGGTTTGCAGTACATTGCTGTAAGTAGTTACTACACTTAACAGAAAAGTGGTTTGATACATTTATTATAGAATAATACACTGTCACACGCCTGGGTATGTTTGCAGATTACCAATTGTATAGTATTGTGGCCAGAAAGCTCCTATTTATTTTTCACTGAATAAAGAGTTGAAGAAGGAGTGGAAGGCATCTAGTATCCACTGCCAAGTTTGCGTGGAAAGCATCCTGTGCTATTGCAGTCTGAGTATTCTGTCCTGAATTATTTTCCCAGTCTGGCTCAAGCTGGACAGGAGTATAATTTAATAACAACAATAATAATTATAATCCTTGCACTTGACATAGCGCCTTATCACGTTGTTGAAACGTCCAGAATATATTGTAAAAGTGGATCAATTATGTATTTCGTGCTGCATATAGAAATACTTCTGGAATTCTGTATCTCAGGATAGAGATACAATTATCTCTATGCAGTTGTGGTTTGCAGCAAATCTGAAATGCCAGACTCCTCCTCCTCCTCTACCCCGCCTCCTCCACATGCGGGATGTGCGTTACAAGCAGAGCCTGATAGTCAACCCAGTTTTTGAACCCAATAGCTACCTGTGCACTCAAGTTGGTCACTGCACACAGAAACCATGGGTTGGGAGAGGGCTGCAGAGTTTGAGCCATGGCTGCTGATGTTTGCTGACTTTCTGCACTTCTACCTCCCATGTTGCTGGCCCTCTTAGACTGGCGCCATGTGGTGCAGGGGTGGATTAGATGACTGCAGGAAACAGATGCGTTTTTTTTTGTGTGTAAACAATATGCCCTCAAGTGGGTTGAAGGCTGGTGAAAGTAAAGTACATTTCTCAATAATGTGTCTGCCCTCCCCTGCAACTGTAGTTTTGCTTTAAAAGTTCTGGATGTTGATTGCTGCATTGAGGCCACGGTCATTCTAGTTAGTTTTCCACAACACATTCCCAGGTTTTGCTTGTGTTTCTTCGTAGCCACAAACCTCACAGTAAAGAGTTTTTTTAACAACTCTCCGCAGTTTACATAGTTTTGGTGGCTCAATTGAAGATTAGTTTGGTTTCAGGGGCATAGTGTCGTTGCTCATGATCTTATTTTATGTGGGGCAGCTTTTTTTGTGTGTGTACACAGTGAAACTTTTTTTCTGAACTAGATGATGCAATTTAATGTTGCAGAATGGATTTTAAAACGATGTGGGTAAATATTTGACTTTTCATCCTATGGGGAAGGCAAGATTTCCATATTGAATTGGTACAGTATATACTATACTCACATGTCAGCCTGGCTCAGTTTGTTGGGAGCACTCTTGTCTCTGAGTCATAATATTGTGGGTTCGCACCCCATATTGGGACCTTCAAACTCAGATAAATCTGCCATGCTGGCGTGTGCTGTTTTGTTAGAGATGGGGTCCTGCCAATGATATGTTAAACTGAAGTCCCACCTGCCTATTCAGGTATACATTAAGATCCTATGGCACAATTCAAGAAGAGAGGGGAGCTTCGCCCAGTGTCCTGGCTACCATTCCCCCCCACCCCACCCCCCACCCCTAATAAGATGCAGTCCTGAACCTTGGTGTCTTGTTTGACCCTCTAATGTTCTGTCTCCCCCACATCTATGCCATGGTCCGCTCTGCCATTCCGCACCTCTGCAACATCGCCTGGCTCCACTGCTGCCTCGCCCCTCAGGCTGCTGAAACCTTCCTTCACGCATTTATTACGTCTAGGCTCAACTATGCCAATTCACTGCTTGTCGGCCTTCCCAACTCTTTCCTCCACAGGCTGCAGATCATCCAGAACTCTGCAGCTCATGTCCTCTCCAGCACCAGGCTCCTTGACCCTATCACCTCAGCTCTACTGGCTCCTCATCCCCCAGGGGATAGAGTTCAAAATTCTCGTCCTCACCTTCAAGACCCTCCACGGCCTTGCTCCTTCCTACCTCTGTGACCTGCTAACCCCATAATCAACTGGTCCATTCCCTCCGCTCAGCAGGCCAGACGCACGCCAGAGGAGACAAGCAGTAGGCTGAAGGAGGTTGGCAGATAAATAAGGAGATGCAATGGCATTAGGGGATTTGTATGTGAGGGTGAGGATCTTCAAGTCATTCGTAGATGGAGAGCCAGTGGTGCCTGGCAAGGATAGAGGTGATGGGCATGAAGAGTGTCGTGTGGGCGAAGATATGGCTTGTGTAATTTTGTCAGCTCGACTTTGTGGAACTGGGGAGACCAGCAGAAAAAGGGTGCATTTGAGAAATCAAGGCAGAAAGTGACAGAAGCTTGGATGACAGTTTCAGTTGCATTTGGTGTGAAATGAGATCAGAGGTGGGCAGTGTGGAGGAAAGCCGTCCTGGTCAGGGAACGAATGTGGGAAGGAAGTACAGTTGAGGATCAAGCCTGGGAATCTTCATCACGTGGACATTAGTTATATGTGAGTCTTGACAGTGAGTTTTGCCTGGTTATTTGACACTGTGGTGAGCTCACATGCACCTTCTAATAGGAGTCAGTGGACAGTGATGAGGAGTGGGGACCGTAATATGGTTTTCTCATCCTTAACCAAATGCTCCAAAGTTGTTTGTAGCCCAAATTTTTGCCCTCACTGCTGTCGGCTCATTCTGCACCACCTGGGATTTAAGCATGCATTCTCTTGCTTATGTCTTAGTACTGCATCAGACAGTGCCTTTTACAAACTAGGCCACTGGGGTAGGGGAGGGGAGCAAGAAAGCTTTATCATCTTAAATGCTTGACAAGAAGTAGATGTAAAATGTGTCATGGTGTTCTCAGTACAAATAGCAGTCTTCTCTACGTGCACACTGTGCCCACAATTTTTAACTGATTATTGAGCATATTTTATACCAAATCAGAGCATCTTTGTCAACCCATCAGAGGGAAGGGTCCGAGGGAACTCGTGCTTGTTAGGCTGATCTTCAGTTCAAAATTTCAAAATCACCACATATTCAGAGCCTTGTTCTGCAATCTGTCTGATTTTCAACATCAGAAGAATTCTGTGTATGAAGGCCACGCTCTACTGGGTGTATAGAATGCAAAGAAATGATGGATTGATTTTTTTCCCCTGTATTTTGTGATCCTATATAGCCATTTCAAAAGAAGTCCTGAAGGTGGCATAATGTAAAACATAGAGGTTCCAGATTATTATCTGCTGTTGCAGTTTTGTACTTGTGAGAATCTTGACGCAGCTGTGTGTGGGGGAGGGTGGGGGGGGGATCGGAAATGAATCTTATCTCTCAACTACAGGGCTGACTTGCTTTGATTGTTCTTTTTCTGCTTTGTTATTGCTGCTGCATTTTCCACTGTAATTAGGCTGAAAGGAAAATTATTCATCTGTTTGTGTAAGAGGTTCCAACTTTATACCATGAGCAAGCAAGCTTGAATAAAATGGCTCCTTTCCTTTTAATAGGTACGGGATTCGTCCAGAGAATGTGATACTATACGGGCAGAGTATAGGCACGGTACCTACAGTGGATCTGGCTGCACGATATGAATGTGCTGCAGTTATCCTTCATTCTCCATTGACCTCAGGAATGCGGGTGGCCTTCCCAGACACAAAGAAGACCTACTGTTTTGATGCATTCCCCAAGTAAGTGTGGCTTTTTTAAATTTTGTATATTGAAGAATCCCTGTTGATTTGTGTGAGGAATACATTTTGTACATTATACAATGCAACAGCAGTAAAATGGTATTTTCTATACTCACCTTCTCTGCCTCCCCACTGCCAATTGTTCTTGCTGAAGCTCCACAGATGCCTTCATGATAAGCACGATCGGATAAGCACATTTGTAGAACTTTGTTAACTAGGAGCTAATTATTGGCAAATCTCCAACCACATTTCTATACATCAGCATAGAATATTGAAATGTGGTTGGTGATTGGTCTGATGGCATGTGCCTTATTTCCTAGGCAAATGGCTCGAGACGTATCACAAAAACAATGGAGATCAAGAAGTGGGATTTAAGGTTGTTGAACAGAGGCAAGCTTTTAGAATAATTTTTAACGTATAGAGAGAAGTAACAAGACAAAGAATTATGTTGCAGAATACCAGAGAGCAGAAGAGGCACAATGGCTAAAGGCTTAGCCAATAGGGAGATGGATGGGTTGATGAATGAATCGTACACGAGAGCCAGAAAAACAAGGGGCAGCAGAATAGGGGTGAAGGAGATTGCTAGGGACAGAGGGGCAAGATCATGAAGGGATTTAAAGATCAGGAAAAGGTTCTTGAAATTGATGCACTAGGTTATTGGAAGCCCGTATACTGTATCAGACCAGTGGACTGGTGCACTTTGCTAGTTTATCCTCTAGATAAGTTGGTTATTCACAACGGTTTGTGGGACTTTGCTATGCGCAAATTGATTGCCCCCTTTGTCTGTAAATAACAATTGCTACACTTAGCTATAAACGTGAAGCTTTTTGAGATGCTTCAATAATAATAATCCTTGCATTTTGATATATCATGTTGTTGAGATGTCTCAAAGTGCTTTGCAGGATTGCGACGGTTCTCACCCCTAATTGTATACCTGCATTATGACAAAGTGCTCAGTGTATTAGGTGGCATATGTACCATTGCTTTCTCTGTAACGTGCAGGTTCCCTCTCTGAGTGAAACTCCACTAATGAGAATATACACACGGCGACGGGTCATCCCAGTGCCTTATTGCGCAACAAAGGAATGCATTCATCCCTGTCCTTTGCACTACCAGGCAGCTGACTTCAGCAATAACCTGCTTGTGTTTACTTCCTCCCTCCTTGATTTTTATAGAAAACTCGATGGTATTTTACTGACACTAGCAGCTTTACCCAAAGTTAGTTAACAAAGAAAAATCAATCTTGACCTGGAGACGAGACTCTCAGGTCAGGCACGTACCTCCTTGATGACACAAGGCGAAAAGTAACCCCGAGTTCAGCGAATCCCCACCTTTTATATTGTCCTAACTCCAACCCTTTCCAATATATCGCATTGATATTTCTTCCCTCCATTTTCAATCTCTCCTTTCATTGTATCAATAGGTTCCCCCACCAGGACTCGGGTGATCTTTTCTCACTTTTTGTTCAAGTAACTCACCCAGGTCACAGACTGCATGTTGCCAAGGCTGTCTTACACTTTAAATTATATTTCGGTCCCGAGACCATAATACAATTAAAGTGAAAGCATCTTACTTTGTACAAATTCTCAATATATACGGAATATCTGCATTAATAACCTTAATAAAAGAGGTAGAGCGTTAATTTAAATAGGTGAATGTGACAGTATGTACTATAAAGTGGATTGACTGTATTTTGTGCGTAAAGCGTGACAACCAGTTTATGCATAGCAATGTCCCACAAACAGTCATGGAGTGAATGACCAATTTTATTTGGGAGATTGTTGCCCAGGACACAGGGAGAAACTCTCCTCTATTCATATAGTGCCATGGGATGTTTAACATCTATCTGAACAGGCAGGTGGGACCTCAGTTTAAAGTCTCATCCGAAGGATGGCACCTCCGACAATGCAACACCCCCTCACCTCAGCACTGCATTGGAGTGTCAGCTTACACTATGTGATTCCAAGTCGTGACATGGAGCTTGAACCCACAACCTTCTGCCTCAGAGGTGAGAGTGCTACCACGCCAGGTTGACACACAAGTTAATAAGGGACAATATAAAAAATCTTCCTGATTACTATATCAAAAATGTTTAGTTTGGTCTTGCACATGCAAACTGAGTTAAATATCACCTAATTTTGGTTACCTGACCATGTCCCTCTCCATGGTTCCTGCATTGTGGTGTGAAATAGGTAAGTCAAATAGCAGTGGAAAAGCAACTTCTAACTGGAAAGGTGATATTTATTTGTTGAGAAAAACTGCTGTGTAAACATTTTTAATGTGCTGTTCTCAGCCTAACACTTTTCTTCTGTGTCTCACGGACGGCTTCTTCCTGCATGTTTACTACTTGTTTTGCAGCATTGACAAGATTTCTAAGATAGTCTCTCCAATACTGATCATCCACGGGACCGAAGATGAAGTGATCGACTTTTCTCATGGGTTGGCACTATATGAGCAATGTCAGAGGCCAGTGGAACCACTTTGGGTAGAAGGAGCCGGTCACAACGACGTGGAGCTTTACGGACAGTATCTTGAAAGGCTGAAACAGTTTGTTTCTCATGAACTGGTGAATTCTTAAATGGACTCTTTAATATCTTAGGGTTTTTGTTTGTTTTTTTTAATTCAAGAATGCTTTCCATTTTTCATTCACTCAGACTGTATATGCAACTAAAAGAAAAAAGACCCGAAGGTTTTATTTGCAAATCAAATGGTAACATTGGAATATAAGGTTTGCAGATGACGGCATTGATGCCAGTATTATATATATATATATATATATATATTAAAAAAAACTGGAGACTACCATGGAGTCAGTTTGTTAAATCAGTTTATGTATTTGATGGCAAAATTTACCATTGTTCCTTCCATAGTTTTACTGTCTAGAAAGATTATTCAGATGTTAGTGTACTGTATGAAACGTTTATTTATGACGTACATGAGTAGCTGTTGCTTTGTACGTATAGTATTGCCAAATTGATCAGAATATCGGTAGAAAAATATTCTATTGAGTGATCTTTGGAATACCTCTCAGTAAATAGGCAGTGTTTTTTTTCAGCGCATAAAGTCTTTTGGCAAGATATAAATTTGGCATAATTCCAAACTTAGTTATTATGCTATAGAAATCTAATTTAAGCATTCGCCCACACCCAAGGTTTATTTTAAACAGATTTGAATTAATAAAATATTGCAAATGGCCCTTCTGGGATTTAAATTCAAACTTATGATTAAAAAATTTTTTTTTTGTATTAACACAAAGCTTCGACCATTATTTCTTTTCCAGTGCTGAATTTGCAGAGATGTTGGATCAAATTATGTTTTCGCACAATTTTAACAAATGTTTGGCTGCATGTGTGGGTAAACTCTGGCTGCAGATTACATGTAGAATTACAAGGGAGATGACAACCCTTCCTTGTTAAAAAAAAATGTTCACATGTGTCTCGAAGGAAGGTTGCATTATATTTCATCGCACACAAGAAATACAGTAATGAAGTAAGTTTTTTTTCACCTTTATGGGGGTGGAAGGGAGGGGTTGGCATCTAGCCAAATTACATAAGGAATGTTAATATTTTTAACCTATATACAGTAGTATAATACTCTTTTAAGGTATATTTCCCTGAGAGAGCTTAATGTATACAAACACTAACAGCAATGGTGCAGTGTAGAATGAATGCATTTAAATGGACAATGCAAAGCTTGAATTGTTTAAAAAAAATTGAAACTATGGTACGCAAAGTAGCCTTACAGATTTGTTACTTTTTTTGCTTTTTTTTAATATGTGAATGTGTAAATGCCTGTACTGTACCTTGTATTTGAAAATTTTATGCTGATGTATGATTCCATATTTCTGTATATCATGACACAAAGTGCTATTTAGCAGTCAACTCTTATCTCGCCTGTGGAACAACCATACAGTCCGATTTATACATTCAGTGTCAAACAAGGGGTGGCAAGCAGGCATTGCCAGCATTGATGCTATATTCTTTGTTTATTTTAGTTGCAATGTACTCAGAGGTCAGCATTTCAGGAGCCAACTGTGGTACTTTACCCATTTTTAAAGAGTTAACACGTGTTTTTTAAAAAGAATGGTATCTCTAAACAAATCTTGTAAAGTGATAATTGGAATCCATTTGTATTGCTTTATGTTATCTTGATCATCCACTCATTATCTGAAAATATCTATAGTATTGATTCTGTCAAAACTACATCCCAAGTGTGCAGTTATTGCGTGTTACTGATGCCATAAGATGTTCCCATGGCTTCGAGTGTATATTGTTTGCTCCACTTGTTAGATCGTAACATAAAATCTTATACAAATTGACTAGATAACCCATCTGTGATAGATCAGTATTTACTCACTTGCTCTGAAAAAATATTGAGCCCCTATTGCAAGTCTGTGTTTTACTTGCAGAATCTAGTGACTTCATCTCTCCAAAAGGACAGCAGAATTGTGGTGCAGGTCTCATTTCTGATCACCCTCTTGAAGTGCCATTTACCAAAATGACTCTTCTGTCCACAAGTGGGGAAGACTCAAAATTCCTGATCCAAACATTTCTCATGTTCTGTATTAATAAGCACCTAATGTTCTGTCTTTCCAAGTGAATGGTTAAATCTCATTGTGTTGTGTTAGAGCTACAGTAAGAATTAATCTCTAACTTGCCAAACAAAAGGGATTGTGTGAAAAAAAACAATTGTTTGGGCTTGCTGAACTTGACAGATGCACGCTCAGCCCCAAATGGGCTGATTCAGTTGACGCTGGTAAAGAGAGTAGCTGCTGGAGGTAACTGCTCCTCCTGGCTGTACTTCCCAGTGAGAACTGGCACTGATGTGAAGGAAGAAACTGAAGCGAGAGTTGCAGATGGGTTATCTAGCCTGGCCAGTTGACCTCACAGCTAGGGTGGTCGCACATACACATTGCCAGTCCAAACAGATAGGTGCCATACGTGAAAACTACTTTACAATCTGTGAATCTGTGTGTTTTGTGAACATTGTTAAATGTGAGTAATGGAGTGGCCTGTGGCGAAATGAAACTTTCAAGTACTTTTTACCTTACTGACTACTGAGCAAACTTAAAACTACCTGTATTTGTATTTGTTTTGCTTTTTTTCTGTTCTACCTGATGCTGGCAGATTGGTATTTTTTCATAGTTGAATTAAACTTTGATTTAAAACAAACCCAATTTGTGCTTTTTTTTTAAAAGTCAATTTTATCCCATTCCGGTATCACTGAAGAACGTTTCTTTTCTCCTTGGTCGCCTAATTTCTGTCTGATTTTTAAACGGGTTAAACATTTTGCTGAACTGGGGGTAAGGAGATTGTGCCCAGAAATCCCCAAAGTGGAATCTTCTCTGTGATGGATGTGTCTTAACTGATATGGGGCCAAAAGAAGGCTATTCATCCTTTCTGTCTCCCCATTTTAAACACCCAAATAGCCCCAGCCTGTAAGACTTTCCAGGTCAATACGTTCCATGTTTTTACATGCCTTTGTGAGCAAAAATATTTTCTAATCTCACTTCTACCCATTTTAACTCTAATTTGATAATAATGCCCTCTTATTCTGGGTCCCTCTATTAGATGGTTGGCTTTGAATTAACCAGAAAATGCCTGGAAATCGCACACCGTATACACTAAATAAATTGAATGAATATTTGGATGAGCAGAATATAAAAGCTCCTTGTCTTTGCAGTACAGCAGCCTTCAAGAATGTAGAACATTACCAGTGAAGCTTCTAATTACATTCCTTTGAATGCACATAACTCAAATGGCGATTGTACAAGTATTAGTCCTGGTTGGCTGACATTATCCATCAGCACACGGATTGAGACCACATTGTCAATTACATTAAACACCATTCTTTTATGAATATCCTCCTTCAAATTGGCCTGACTGCACTATTCAAACTATAAAAACATCAAGTTTTAACGAGAAATTCTGTAGGGTTTTAGGGGAATGTAACCAGGTTCCGATCAACCTCCAAGAAGACGTTTCTGCAAGTCATTATTGATGTTTTTCTAGATGAAAGAGGAAGGCAACACTTGTGCAATTAATATCCTTTATTAGTAAATATCTCAAATTAGTCCCCAGTGTCCCCAGTGTTAAAATGTAACATCTCTTCTTCTTTGACCACACTGCTTGGATTCTTATTTTTGAACCTGGATTTCAATCCTAAATCATAAGTTCACATCAGTATTGGAGTAACTTCATATTAAGTTGGGGGGGTGGGGGGGAGACCAATAGACCAATCTGGATAAGACTATCAATAAATATTTTCAGTGATTCTTAACATTTCGGCCACATGTACACATAATATTTCATTCAATTAATATGTTTAAAGTTTGTCTAATTGTAATAGATCTCACATTTGTAAACTGGACTGGTCAGACTCCAAAGCAGAGCAAAGCATTCGCCCACAAAATGCACAGTCAAACCACTTTACAATATATCTTGTGAAGCGCTTTGAGATGTTGGACAACATGATTAGGCACTATATCAAATGTGATGATAATGATTAGTGGAGCACTGGTCTGTGGCCTGAGAATGTGCCTGATTGAGTGGCTCCCACCTGCAGTCATTCTGTACAAATCTAGTGTTCAATAAAAATCTTTCAAATAGACTCACAAATTAGATACTAAAGAAAATGGTGGTGGAAGAGCCTGATAGCACTAACTTCTTGAAGTGAAGCTATTGTTTGGGGATGGGGGAAGAGGATGATCGGAAAATTACAGGAAATGTGAGGATTTCCTACTCTGGAGTATGATAGGGAATGGTCATTGTCGGAGGCAACATAGAGGAAATTAACTGATAACTTCGGAGTAGGGGAATCTATAAATGTTGATCTGTGTGAAATAATGGAGCATGTATTAGAAAGTGCACAATATTGAGCAAATTGAGCATATAGTGTAAAGTGAAAATCTTCAATCATAAAAGCATAGAATAGCGAAACAAACTGAATGTTGCAGTTACTTGTGGTCTTTATTCAGACTCTCTTTGTAAAATCTCCATGAAGGACACCTTTTGTATATATATTTGGTCAGCCTGCTAAATTATTGGTTGTTTCAAATCCACTGGTAACAAGGCTGCCTCGTTGTTAAGTATCTCAATGAAGTGTAAGTTCACTTTGAACCCAGTTGTCTTGAGGATCTGTGGTGACTGAAAGTGTGGCACACTTCACACTTCCTATAGTCTGGCTTCCAGCCATCCTTGCAGACGTATTTAACAACAACAACTTGCATTTATATAGCGTCCCTCACACAGGGTAGCGTCCCAGAGCACTTGACAGTGATTGAGCACGACTTTCAGCTCTAAAACTGCTCATAAGAGCAGTGACAGCTTTCATAGGGACCAGCCAGATTCCTGCACATACACATGGAACTATGAAGTGATGCATTTTGTGCTGCAAAATGACATCCTGACAACCCAGAAGTGGGACCAGTGACAATTTTGCTTTCCGGACACAGGATCTAATTTCTTGGATCTAAAACACTGTGTTTGAATGGTATTGACAAGGTTCCTTCCTCCAGAGCCCTCCTTTTCTCTAATCAATATTGTCTTTCCTAAAGCATTCTGGAGTGTCATCTGTAAATCCTGGTATCAAGAACGTCCATTCTCAAAAAGACAGCCAGCACAATGTCTATTCTTTCGTGAGAAACATCATAGCTGACTCTTATTCTATTCTTATCTGCTATCTACCATCCCCTTCCTCCCACACACACGCACACATGTACCAACACTTCCTTCCAAATGGGATGTCAATACAGTGAACTGATAAGAAGACCCTGCCTTATATCATCACATGGATTATATCATCATGCTGTCAATACCCCGGCTACTTAACATAAGAAATGTGAATAAGGGCCACTCCTTTATTTCATCACTCGCTTCAAATATTATAAAGTTGCATTCTATACATCCCAGTAAGTAAAATACCAGATGAATCATCGGACAAAAATCAGCGAACTCTCGCTGCTCCCAACATGTAAGCTTGCCCTCCGCCAGCCAGTGGAAGCTGTTTTGACTGTTGTGGTAAGATCTCTGTAAGTACAAATGGTAGACCTTATCCTCTGTGAGGTTCTGGCTGATTGTTAAAGTCTGAGTGATTCAAGTTGGGAAAATGAACATAAAGTGCTTTATAGACACGTTTGTCTATACATAAACTTATACTGTTCTCAACTTAAACATGTTTTAACAAATAGACTGACGGTCGGGGGGGCCAGTGGAGCCACACTGTCACATTGACAGCTGCTTGCTCTGCACAGGCACAGTGTAGGTCCTCCTGGCCACAGCGCCCCTCATGGCCCTGGAGGACTCATGCACACAAAGTCACCATGGATATAGTCACTGAGCTCTTTTCCCTGGAGTGACGATATATCAGGGGTTTACTGTATTGGTTGATGATATATCAGGCGTTTACTGTATTAATATTGGGTAAGTGACCATCTTCCCACCCTAATTTGGGTTTGTTGGTTGTAACAACCACCTCAGCCCGAGAGATTAACTAATGACAAAAACTGGGGTCAAACCATGTCTTTGTGTTCTGTGTAATTCAGTCACTTTATGGGGTGAAAATTGTGATGTGTAATATGTTGACATTGATAGTGCTAAACATGTTGAAAAAAATAAACCGGTTGATAATTAACAAATTGACTGGGCACCAAGTGAGCCTGAGATGAAAGCGTCCCCCCAAGCCCTTCCCAAAGATTGTGGCCAGAACTTAACTGCACCATGCATTAGATTTCCAGCTCATGGATCATGGCAATTCTTGCATTTTATATAGCGCCTTATCACATTGAGATAAAGCGCTTCACAGGATATCCTGTAAAGTAGATTGACTGTGTATTTTGTGGGTGAAATGCAGCAGCCAGTTGTTCATAGCAATGTCCCACAAACAGCCATAAAGTGAATGGCCAATTTTATTTGGGGGATTGTTGGACAGGACACCGGGAGAAACTTTCTTCTCTTTTAGAGTTGTGCCATGGGATTTTAACATCTACCTGAACAGGCAGTTGGGACCTTGGTTTAACGTCCCATCTCCGACAATGCAACACGCCCAGAATTCTGGACCATGTGTAGCTCTATTCAGTCCTCGATAGAGGCAGGTTGACAAAGACGTTATGCCTGATTTAAAAATAATGCATAGCCTAATCAGTAATGTCAGAGATCTTTCAGGCTGTCCATTTTCAGACCCCCTTAGAAAGCTCCCAGGCAGTAATGAGAACAGTTTAATCTTACTACGGTAAACTCTGGTTAACTTTCCCCCCATGGACATTTTTTATTTAATGAAAGTGATTTAAAGTATCATAGAGGTGCAAATCTCTTCAATGTGTTACAAAAGCGTTTTTAAAATAAATATTATTTGCAGTGGTTCAAACTATAACTACTGTAGGGGAATATCAAAACCAAACTCAATTCGGTCCATCCCTCCAAAGTCCTCATACTCACTTTCCACCAAGGGGGGAGAGAGACACAGAGAGAAGTTATTGGGTGATGAATACAAGCAGGAATCTTGGCTGATCTTACTATCTCTAGTCAAGGAGTCGAGAGGTCAATTGTAGTGCCCCATGTGCTATCCAGACAGAGCACACACCAGGAATCAAACCTGATACCTTCTAATATGTATGCCTTAGTGCTACACTGAGCAGTGACTTTACTGACTGGGTCATAGGTGGAGCCAAGTCCCAAACCAGTTATTCCAGAGCTCCCTTATCAACTACAACTGATTTAAACATCTCCACAGGACTGATAGCAATTTGCACTTACATAGTCACTGCAGCCTGATGTCTTCTCATCTTCTCTTTTGTGCTATATTAAGCCATGCCCTTGCTCAATGGGTCATAGTGAAGCCAAGTTACAAACCAGTTATCCCAGAGCTCCCTTCTCAACCTCAACTTTTTTTTAAACATCTCCACATAATCCAACAACAACAACTTGCATCTATCTTGCACCCTCTACGCAAATACGGTATGTGTAGAGCTTGTAAACAACCATTGGATTCTAAACAATGGCAGCAGAAGCCAGAAAATGGGCTGAGTGAAGTTGCCCGATATTCAGGTGCAGCTCTCCTCACGAGAGGATATTGAGACCAATTGTTAAGCACCATGAGATCTGCTAACTCATCATATACCAGGGATCGAGCCTACCTGAGTGTCCTTGGCTCGGTAATGAACAGAGCAGTGCCC